CAACAAATTATAATGTGTTTTAATGTTTTTGTCTCGTCACTCCGGCCGGACAGGGCATCGCAGTATGTGACGTCACAGTAAGGCCAAACAAAGTCCCTGTGGCCAAGTATGGTGACCCATACTTGGAATTAGTGCTCTGGGGAAAGGGGTGTTTTCCCCCACGCCGACTCCGCCCACACAGCTATGACGTGACACCGATCAAGTCTATAATGTACAGTATGTGGAAAATAATGTTTTTTGAACCTTAAACCGCATAAACACATTTTATTACACTAAATACACAAAATAATGTTCTTTTTAGCAACATCATATGACCCCTTTAAATGCAAGTTGGTTTTTAAAAAGCAGATCTTCAGAAATGTGACCTTTTCATGTTTTCATTTTTAACCACATTTTAGATTTATCTAACAGAGAAACCTATTTCTAAGATTATTTCTGCAGAATCAAATGCTGTTTGTGTTACTTGGCTCATATGTTCACACATATAAGCACTCTGAAAAGAAAAAATGCCTGCTGCATTTAACGCTAGTTGTTTTAATATGGTTCAAAATCCTACAGCCTATTTGTTCTTAACAAGTGGTCTTTGAACAAGTGCTTTATCTTAAAAAAAAAAGAAAAGAAAAAGAAAGCAAGACCAACCTCAGGAGATCAAAACATTTTCTATTCTCTGACGTTTGCCAGTTTTTGGGTTTTGTCTAATTAGTTTCAATTTGAGTAATACATTTTTAAAAACATAATTCTTACAAAAAAAAAGTGATTTGTGTCTTTAAAAAATGCCTTAAAAGTATACAGCTTTTGAGGAAAGTGAAACGCATTTCATTTACAATGTGTCTAATGTAGTAAACAGCAGTTAAACTGGTTTGAGTTTGCGCATCTGAATGAGGAAATGTCAGATTGAAGCCACAGACACGAGTTCAGGTGTCACTAATCAGCTTCCCCCTCAGTATTTTCATAACTAGGACAAATAAGTGTTATATTTTTTAAAACCAGCTGAACCACATCCAGCTCCTTTTTGTGACTTCCGTAACCGGCTTAGTGTCTTGACTGAATGAAGATATGCGCCTTTGAACGTCTGACTGAGATGGATAATGGTGTATTAAAGTTAGTGAACACATACATACATTCACATATACATACATACATACATACATACACATACACACACATATACACACATACACACATATACATACACACATATACACACATATACATACACATATACATACATACACATATATACACATATACATACTATATATATATATATATATATATATATATATATTATTTTTTTAAATCTGGAGCAAATGGATTATTTCATAAATATGGTATATGAAAGCACATTAAACGTTTTTGCATGCCGTCACTTGCCCGATGGAAGAAACCATGGGTGCTTCTCAATTCTTGTTTGTGCATCCTCGTTTCCTTTCCTTGCTCGAGCTGCTTCCTTTCCTCGCGTCTTAGCTCCACCCCTTCAGGATGCGAGGGAAGGACACAAGGAAAGACGCGAGGACGGAGGAGATGAATCAAGTATCAAGACAATCCTAGGTTTTTATTTAGCACAGTGGCTAGATTAACAAATAACCAGACCCCACCCGATCTAAATATTCCCTCACAGTTTAATAGTAATGACTTTATGAATTTCTTCACTGATAAAATAGATAACATCAGAAATACAATAGCAAATGTAGATTCTACAGCGTATAAATACTTCAGCTTCATTCATCGCACCAAAAGATAAACTGCAGTGCTTTACAACTATAGGACAGGAAGAGCTAAATAAACTTATC